ATACAAAGATTACCTACATTGGGCCCAAAAGTCTGTAAATATTATAGAATACTACCTACATTGGGCTATTTGGATCCCTAGGGAAAGCTTTGGGTTAGGGCTAGCTGCACCGCAACGGCCTGATTTGTAGGAGTTGAGGGCTTGGAAACTGCGGCCTGTAACGAGGCATCCTCAGATTCAACCAAGGATCCAAATAGTAGGTCATATTTCTAGACTTCTAGGGTTTAGGGTTTAGGGTTAAGTGTTTAGGTTGTAGGCTTTAGGGTTTATTGGGGCCCAATGTAGGTAAACAAATGTAGGCTTGGATCACTGGGAAAGCCATGAGTCCGAGTGCACCGAGTAGCTCTACTAACGGCTCGCTGGCTGCTAGCAGAGAGGGAATGTCTGGAAAAGAGGATGGTAAGTGCAATATCATTGGGGTATATATACTTAGGGGTTGCTATAGGGATCCATTCCTCCGTTCTTAACCCTAAACTCCTACATCCTGAGCCATACGGTAGCTTTTATGATCTTTTCCATTCCGCGTACCTGGACCTAACAATAGCAAGTAAATCAAAGGAACTCATGCATCCATCACTTCTTATCTCGAAGTTTGTCGGAAAAGAAATCCTAGACTTTTCGCCCTTAGCGTTTCCAAGCCTCAACCCTAAGAACCTGCATCTTGCGGAGGTATTGGTTTAGGGTTTAGGGTGTAATATGCTCAGGACAGACGGCAAAACAGGTGGCGCCAAGCTGACCAAAAAAACCTTTGAACCCCACCAAAACACCCAAGCACTAAGAACCTAAACCCCCAAACCCTCAACCCAGAAACCCGCAAACTCCCCATATACTCCGGATATACTCCCTATATACTCCCTAACAGCCCCCCCTAAAACCTAAAGCCTAAACCCTAAACCGTAAACCCTACATACCCCAAACTTCGCGAAAGGAGGTGGAGTTGGACGTGGAGGGCAGCGAGGTTGCCTCTTGCCGAGAGTTGGCTTTAGGGCTTTGGGGTTTTAGGGTTCAGGGTTATGAGCTGCGGTCTTAATTCCTTAAAGGGGTTACGTTTTACCCTAAACAGCAGGTGGGTGGGTGTGTCCGCCCGAACTCGCAGGGCTGCGCAAGAAGTAAACGCCCACTACTGTACCTCTTGATGCAGGCTCAGGAGCAGAGCGTCTGATGCACAAAGTTCGCTTGATTCTCCCGATGTGCCTTTGCGTCCGAAGTTTGGCATCGTAGTATGCCTTATACGCTGGAGGTGTCTGCTTTTGGGGCGACCTGGTGTTGTGGGATTTGTTGTGGGGGTGCCCATGATAACCATCCTCAGTATGTTCAGAGCAGAGCAAGCTCCGGGGCGCCCTATACACAAGAGACAAGCACCAGCAATGTGATAAAGTCCAAAACACCAGTTCGCACAGAACATCAATGGAGATCATAAACCGCAGCTTGTACCTGGACCCCAAAAGTATATAAGATGATGGCCTTTGTGGCTCTTTTTTTTGGTTTAGGGCTAGTATGTTATATACTTTTGGGGTATAGGTAGGAGCTGTGAGTAGGCCTTCTGACATCGTTTGGGGAACATATTGTTTTGCACGGGTGTCTATTGTTCACTGATGTCCTTGGCAGATGTGCCAACGCCTATATTAGATTCCTGCTCCCCCATGACCTAGCGCCGCAAACCCTAAACCCCAAACCCCAATCCCTAAACACTAAGCCCTAAACCCTGATCCCGTAGTCAAGAACCCCAAACTCCGTTGAATGAGGCCTCTGCTGGCTCTCGAGCGTCGTCCATCTATGCTGCCCACCCGCGCGGAAGGCCCGTTATGCTGGAGATATGTGGGCTAAGGGCTGGAAATTGCAGTTTGAGGTTCAGGAGTCAAGGTCAACGATTCCAGTGTTTTTGGTGACTGCTTGAAGGCCATGAATCCGGGGTAGACTATGATTTTGATCGTGGCTTTCTGAACACGACCGCAGTGTTGGGGGCGTTGGCCTACTTCGTCACGGCTTGTAGGGTTGGGACGGACAGCTGGTGAAATCCTCTGTTTCGGGCTGCGAGCCTGCAACTTTGCACTTATTGTGCACAGCTTGCCATCAGGGCCATTCGGCTGCTTGGGCCCTCCTTGTTTTAGGGTGCAGGGAGTTTGGGACCTTCTCAAACTAGGACCCCCAACATGTTTTGGGAAATTACATGGCCACCATTTACCAGCCCCCGAACAGAAACCCTCAACTTCGTGAAGCCTCGTCAGGGGTTCAGGGTCAGAGTGCCAAAGGCCGAGGTGTCCCCACTTCATTCACGGGTCTTCAGGTGGAATCCTCAACCATGATTAGAGGACTTAGCCGACAATGGATTTGCAATGAATTTGTTGCATGATCAACTCGGACAACCTGTTAGCTGTGTGAGTTGTATCTACAATGATACCTGGTCAAAAAACTGCACAGTTTTCTCGTGGGTCGGAGCAATGAATTCTGTACTGAATACTCGTCAAGAGCAATGATGAACATAACGCGATGAGACCCATATAAAAAAGCTGCAAATTGCTGGCCCTCGATTTGGATGCTAAGCCCCGGACGCAAAACCCTATCCCTAAACCCCAAACCCCTAACCCCTAACACCTAAAATCTATCAACATCTCTAAGTGGGAATTGCCCAAGACACCCAAGTCCCACCATCCTCAGTGGCTTTCAAGCAAAAAGAGCCAGTGACCCTTGCCATTGAAAAGCGGGGGCAACCTGACAAGCTATACCCTGAGCTGTAGTCTAAACTCCTAGTTTCTCCCTTAATAAGCCCTATACTACTCCCCTATATAACCCCCCATTTGAGGAGTTTAGACTCTAAACCTTAAACACTAAACCCTACGTAATCCCTACATAAGCCCCTTTTATGGAGTTTAGACTGCAGCTCTCATTCGAGAATGGTCTGCTTAGATGGCCTTCGTCGCAGAGCCCCTTGAAATCAGTACCATGATTACATGAGCTATAGTCCATACTCCTTAAACGGGATTATATAGGGTCTAGGGTTTAGAGTCTAAACTTCTTAAAGGGTAGTGGTCATACAAGGGATGATATAGGGGAGTATTGTAGGGGTGATTAAGGGGATCCTCGGAGTTCAGATTATCGTCATAATGTATGTAGAACACACCCTCCTCCCCCCACAAGCTGAGACGAACTGCTCCGTATAAGGGAGACCTTGTTCTTACGGGGACGGGGACACATTTAGGGTTATTGGTAACGTGGGTGCTTTATCTTGAGGGAAGGGCTATTAGTCTTTACCATTCTTTCCAGGTCCTCGCTGAGGGCACAATGTTTGTGGGCTGCAAAACCAAACAAAGTAGCCCTCAGCTAAATCATTCAAGCATGTCCACTTCCTGTACGACTCTTCATAGGGCCAAGAACGCTAAGCCCAACTCCCTAAACCCTTCATATATCACTACGCAGCCCTACATATCCATTTGCATCCCCATTTATTTCCCCCTACATTCTTAAACGGCCCTCGGTAAGAGCAAACCTGCCCACCCCCTCGTAATACATACTCCACCATTATGCAGGTATTTCAAACGGGGGTATCTAAACCCCTAAACCCCAAATAACACAGCAGTTTCCAGTTGCTTTTCCCTTCCCTTATATACCCCCCTAAAACCCTATGCATGAAACCCTGAACCCTAAACTCCTAAACCCTCAGCTCCCAGCCCTAAACTCTAAACCCTAAACTCTAAACCCTAAACCCTCAACTCTAAACCCTAAACCCTAAGTTCCTAGAGGTGGTTCGCCCGAGAGTTTCGGCCAGGTGCTGGGCGAGGGCTCCTTCGGGTCTGTGCAGAAGTGCAGATACAAGGCCTCAACGCTGAATGGGGGTTTAGGGTTTAGGGTTCAGGGTTTAGGGTTGAAGCTTTAGGATTTTTGATTACAGGTGTGGGGTTTAGGGTTTAAGGTTAAGGTTCAACTTATAGGATCCCAAAGGGGAGTTGGTTCACGGGGGGAGGGTACAAGGGAGCCTTGGGGAATGTTAGGGAAGCTTAGGGAGTAATAAGGGAATAATGGGGATTACTAGGTTACCTACCCTACTTGGACCATCCCCCCTAATGGACATCTTAGTCAACACTCAATGCATGAGAGGGGTTTAGGGTTTAGGGTTTAGGGTTGATGTTCTAGGGTTTTTGACTAAAGGTGTGGGGTTTAGGAGGTTAACGGTTTAGGGCTTAGGGTTTACGGTGCAGGATTTAGAGGGGTTTAGGGATTTCGGCTGGTTGCTGTAGCCTGCCAATACAGAGTGAAATAAACTTCCTCCCTCAGGTTTTAGTATTGTGCAAGGAGGCCTTCGCTCATGAGTCTTTCAGTGTACTTAAGTTTTCATCAAACATGATGCATATTGGGGATTGTGTAGGTATTTATGTTATAGTGTCTAAGATCTAGCATAGGACGAGGATGAGGGCTTTGGGACTATATACGGCGGCTTTCTACTTGTAGGGATTAGCATTCATAATGATGAGAGGATCGGGGTTGTACCGGGGTTAGACAGGAATTTGGAGTTATAATGGTAAGAGGGTTTTAGAAATTTTTCTAAACTTGAAAGTAAGGCACCTGTAGATAATCATATGGTACTCTTATTATAGTAGGAGACGGGATAGCCCCAAGTCCGCTTAATTACCGTGCGGGTGAAACATGCCTGATGATTTGACTAGTGAACAAGTTAAGTTGCAAAATGTGAGGGTGAGGGAGAAGCTCAGACGGTCGTGGCAGTCGGATCTCTGAGTAAAGTCCTCAGCTCTTACTGAACTTGCCCTGTCCCTTGCACGGCAGGGTCTGACACACACCGGAACTCACTTCACACCCCTGGACTTATTGCCTGCTCCTGCTTCTTGCGCTGGCTACCAGGACACCGGGCAATGGCGAGCTGTTAAGACAATCAACAAGAAAAGGGTCAAAAATGTGGAGCGGCCGGTGTCCCAGTGCCTGGTTGTAGTTGGTTGACTCCAGATCTTTTGGCTGAGTGGTGGATTGTTCTGAGGTTCACAGAGGAGATGGCGATTATGAAGCTGCTCGATCATCCCAACATTGTCCGCCTACATGAGGCCTGTGTGTCTCTTGTGTGTGGTCACGGAATACTTGCGGAGTGCTGCCAGACTTTCGACGATGAGCGGAATGTGTACTTGGTGTGGCTGACTCAGCTACAACTACCCTCGCAAGCTAGCATGTGACTTCATGCAGCCCATGTCTAACACTGCATGTAGTTCCTGTAGTTGAAGTGCCCTGTTCAGGAAGCCACAGTTACCAATAAGGCACATAAAGAGACAAATAAGCAGACAAACATATGTATACCTATGCATGCATGGATATATATTTATATATCCATACCTCCAAAGCTTGTCTCTACACATACATAGAACTTCCCAAGTCTACCTGCAGAATCAGTAGTCCCCGAGAGAACAGCAGTGAATCCCCAAACCCGAAATAAAAACCCTAAGCCCTACAGCGTGGACGCTGAAGGTTGGAGCTTTGCTCTGGAGGGGAACTCTTTGACCGCATTGTTGCAGACGGAAAGTTCACGGAGCAGGACATTAAGTAAGTCAAGTAAGGATTTAGGGTTTAGGGCTTTGTGGAATGATGGACTGGGATAGGTGCTGCTGCAGGGATCCATTCCTCCACCCTGCTAATGGCCAGGAAGTAGAGGTGAGCAAAGCAAATTCTGAGTCTCTACGCTGCGCTCACTCTTCCTCCCTCTTCCTTCGGACAAGACCCCAACTTAGGCCTCAGTAAGGTTCACTTTGGGTCTAATTTGGGGGAGGGTCTGTGTAGTATAGCTTCCATAGCAGCTAGCCGTGAAAATGCATTCGCTCGGCTCAGTGTGACTGGCGAGAAGTTGCTTGATGTCAGGTGGCTGCATACTGTGTGCAGCAGATGCTTCGTGCACTGAATTACCTCCACATCAACTGCATCATGCATTGTCGAGCGCTTGGTGCGTCTATCAAGTCAAAACTTCTGCGGTAGCTTCCGTGCTTAGCAAAGTCGGTAACCAGAGCAGCAGAACAGAGTGCCCTCAAGAGTGTATCACAATGATCACTAGAGAGTCCTCAATGGACACCTTAGCATATCCTCTGATACCCCCCTAGTACATCCCTACCGGGAGGGTCATTTGGACTTCGTAAGTACGTTGGCAACCCCTATAGCCCATTTAGTAGACATAGATATGCCCATTGGTAACCTACTTATTAAGTCCCCCTGACCCTCCAAGTAGACCCTAAACCCCAAACCCTAATATGTTATAGTAGTTTCCATTTTCTTTTCCATTATCCCTATATAATCCCTATATACATCTCTTCAAACTTGGTATATCCTTGGGGTCCCTTGCTCTGTGTTTGGGAACCTCCCATTCGAGGTGACCTGAAACCGGAGAACTGGTTGCTTGCAGACACGGCCCCACGGCTCTACTAGGCGTTGGGAAGGGATGTGGGGTTTTGGGCATATGGGGTTATATTGGGATCATGGAAAATAAGATGGAAACTACTATTTAGGGTTTAGGGTTCGGGGGTGTAGGGCTTGCGGGAACGGGTTGCGGTGATCATATGTATGTAGGGCTAAGGCAAACAGATTTCTGGATTATTGTGGGCTTTACAGGGTGAGGTACAGTAGGAGGTTGAATGATTACCAACGTTTTGGTACCAGATTCCCTGCAGATCTATGAGACGTCCATGCTTAGACTCGACACTCCGACTACACCAAAATTTTGCATTGTACCGTGCCCTTAAAAGGCGGAATGCAGGCATCTGCTTGATATTCTAGATGTGCCGTGGCGTCAGTAGGGAAGAGGTGGGTGAATGCTTGGAGTTGTTGCGATACGCCTGATACCCAAATCCCAACACCCAAAACCTTATGTGGTGATTTGTACTTTTTATATGGCCCCCATCATAAGGAATAGAATATTTTACTGCCATGAAAACCGGGAAAAGGCTTAGGGTTCATGCAAGAGGGTTATTTAGGTACTTGGCGGCTTTCCTAATATTTTTCTCTCAAAGGGGCTTCCTGTTTCTCGCGACAAGGGAACGAAACCCTATACCTGAAACCCCAAACCCTAAACCCCAAACTCTAAACCCCAAAACCTAAGCCCTAAAACCTAAACCCTAAACCCTAACCCCTAAACCCTAACCTACTGCAAGCCAACTAAGGAGCCGATTCAGAAGTCTCACCTGAAGGCTCCTGATCTGCTATTGAGGCAATTAAAGAGTTAAGTACTTAGGGTTTAGGGTTTTAGGGTTTAGGGTTTTAGGGGTTAGGGTTTAGGGGTTTAGGGTTAAGGGGTTTAGGGTTTCAGGTTAGGGCGTTTATGGGTTTAGGGTTTAGGGCTTTTGGGGGTTCAGGGTTTAATTAGAGTTTCGGGTGTAGGGTCTAGGAGTTTAGGGGTCTTGGCCCTAGGTGATTATTCCTAGAGGAAGTTAAGGGTATGCAGTTTGGATCCTGCATTCTCCTCGTGAAGGCCCATCTAGGGGCCTGTAAACATAAAAAGGGGAGTACCTGTTCTGGGACCCAAGAGAGCCAATAATTTGAAAGGCCGCCCATAAACCGGGTTTAGGGTTTAGGGTTTTAAACCTTAAGCCCCAAACCCCAAACAACCTCCAACCTTTTAACCCCACTGTCGTCAATCTGGAACCCGAAGACCCAAGGCTAAAACCTTCCCAATCCCTGGGCCCTGAAGTCGACCCCCAAGTCCTAATGCTTAAATCCCAAACCCTCATACAATCAATCCCAAACGTTAGGGCAATCCCCGTATAGCCCATACAATACATAACCCGTACATGGCCTTACGTATGATCCTTACAAAAGCCTATGACCACTTGGAGATTCCTGGGACTAGGAAAAACTGCTAACTTGCCTTCTAACCGCATTGATAAGTGGGGTAACCTTGATAAGTCCGGTTAGGGGGATTATGTTAGGGTTACAAGCCCAGTTATTTGGCAGTTACTCAGTCCATGGAACCATAAACAGTCAACCCCAAGCCCTAGACCCTAAACCCCAGACCCCAAGCCCTAAACCCTGAACCCTAAGCCCTAAGCCCTCAACCCTATACCCTAAGCCCTATACCCTAAATACTAAACCCTAAACCTTGTATTTCAGGGGCTATTAAGGGGTGGTACTAGGAGTTTAGACTATGGCTCAGATGGCGGACTTCGGCTTGTCGAAGCGTTTCACGCCCGGTGAGTTTGCGACCACCAAGGTGCGAAGGTTCATGTTTTTGGTGTAGGGTTTGGGGTGTTAGGGGGTTTAGGGTTTAAGGGTTGAAGGGTTTAGGTTTCGAAGGTTTAGGGATGCTGAGGGAACAGGGTTTTGGGGTTTAGAAATGTTTTGGTATGGGGTTTTGGGGTTTAGATTCCGCACTGTAGGTGTGCCCCTGCTTGTTTTTCACATTCATGAAGCAGCCTTCCTGAAACAGGCCCTGTTCTCCATAATGCGCAATGAACCCAAGGGGGTTGTCAAAGTTGCGGCCAGGGAGTTCAACCATCTGACAAGTGCAAATCAAGCTGAGTAACAATATGGTAGTTTCCCGAAATAAGGGGGCCCCACTATAGACCCCAGAATACTATAGTCCTTATTATGGGGACCCCCAAAAAGGTACCCCTAATTTTGGGAAACCCCCAAATGCTGGAAAGAGCTCGGGAGGCTTCTGGGGCCTGGATGGGTTGAAGACGTCCACATTTGGTATCTCACCAAAACAACGATACATGCTTACCCTGCTGATACCTATTTCGCAGATTGCTGAGGGAGTATGTGAGCGTGATGTTGTACAGTCTGCCAGTCAATGTGGCTCATGAACATGTCACCAACAGAATTCTGCACATGCTTGTTTCCCAAAACGATGAGGGAGTATGTGAGTGTGTTGTTTTTCAACCTGCGTAGAGGTTGTGATTCCTCCTGATTCAATTAACGTTGCCGGAAGTGATCATGCTGGAGAGTGGTAAAGTGCAAGCAGAGGCATCATGCACATATATATGTTTAATTATGTACGCATATATGCTTGTGATTACACCTGTATGGTCAATAAGTGGGGCATGGTGTTCTCTACGACGCTCTGCGGCCTTCTTTTCTTTTGAAGGAAATGATGGCAGGACGAGCCTACCAACAAAAAGAACGCCCTGTATCTTCTTGATGTGAGGGGATTCCATGGGTGGGTGGCTGCTGCTCTGTCACTCGACATCGTTGCTCAACTAGGGAATGTTTGTACTTAAGATGCTGAACTCCAAGCCATGAACCCTAAATCCTAAACCCTCCATCCTGAATCCTAAGCCCGAAATCCTAAGCCCTAAATCCTAAACCTCAAATCTTAAACTCTAAACCCTAAACCCTAAAAACCTAAACCCTGCACATTCTTACAACATGCTTTGGATATCCTTGAGCCCAAACCTTCCTTGCCTGGAGCAGGCCGGGGCTCCGTACTACGTGGCCCCTGAGGCTGCAAACCTTCGAGGGTTTGGGGTTTAGGGTTTGGGGTTTAGAGTTTAGGGTTTGGGGTTTAGGGTTTAGGGTTTAGGGTTTAGGGATTAGGGTTTAGGGTTCAGGGTTTGGGGTTTAGAGTCCTGGCACACAAAATGGGCTCAGAGTTTGGGGATTAGGTTTGGGGTTTGCGTTTTGGGGTTTGGAGTTGATGGTTGAGGATTTATGTAGGGATGACATTGTGATTATGTAGGTGTTCTGTAGGGATATATAGGGATAGACAGGGGTAATAAGGGACGGGAAAAGAAAACGGAAACTACCACATCATGTAGGTTTGTGGTTTAGGGTGAGGGTGTTGTAGAGGCCTAGCAGTGGGATTATTGGGTTAAGGTTTAAAAGTTTAAGGTTTGGTGTTATGGGATTACATAATAAGAGTTACAACGTATTTCGTGTTCATATTGCTAGAAACAAAGAATCGCACTGTAAAGAAGATGGAAAGTGGAATGGACACTGTGACTATCTAAGGCTTATGGGGAGTGCAATGTAACATAGCAAAGCAACATGTTTCTAGACTTTTTGCCGGGTAATGATATGATACCTTCTCAGATGTTTTTGGTAAATCTTCAGATCCCTACCACAGGAAAACGTAATGGCAATACATGCCCTTTAATTAAGGTTTAGGTTTAGGTTTTACGGGTCAGGTATTGGGGTTTAGGTGTTACGTTTAGGGGTTGCATAGCGATAGACAGGGGTATAGGAGGAATTACGAAGAAAATGGAAGCTACCCTGCTATTCAGGGTATAGGGTCCATGGATACAACTGGCTAGAGCAGGGTTCCGTGACGGAGGTGCATAACCCTAAACCCTAGAGCATATGTAGGGATTTATATATAGATATATGTCTACATGTTGTGTTTCCTGGGACTGGGCACTTTGGGGATATAGGATTTGCTCAAAGCAGTGCCCGCTTGCAAATTAGCCTAGAGAACTTAGGGTTTAGGGCTTGGGGACTTTTTAATTCATGACACATCATACTTTTGATCCTGCATGAGCCACATAGTAGCCCCGATCATCGCAATTGTGAGCCTACTTGCTAAGTCACGTGGACTGCAAGGGACGACGACGGCGGCGGCGACGACGACGACATTATATGTAACAGGGATCCCTTCCCTCCATTTCCTTACTAGAATAGCAATGTCATGTGGTAGATTTTGTTTGGCCCCTAATGTCCACGGTAGATGGTGAGGGCCGCTCATGTCAATGCTGACTCTCAACCCTCAACAACTTCAGAGTTTCCATTTTCTTTTCCGTTACCGTACAATCACGAGCAGTTTCCTTTTTTTCCATGACCCCTCAACGGGATTCAGAAATCGAAGCTGAAGCGCTGCCTGTCTTTGCAGGTTCTGGCTGGTCACTACAATGAGCTGTGTGATGTGTGGAGCATTGGGGTGATCATGTCCCCCGCATGCTTCAATTGCCAGAGAGTGCAATGCGCATTTGGTAGGACATGCCTATGCGGCTTTCCTAAGCTTTGGGTGAGTGCTAGCAGCAGATCTTTGCAAATTAGCTGAGCCACAGTCTACATTCCTGAAAATGGGGTATATAGGGGAAAATATAGGTGATTGTATCGGGGAGCATTATAGGGGTTATTAAGGGAGATGCTAGCAGTTCGCCTAAACCCTATACTATAGGGGTTATGAAGGGGGATACTGGCTCAGATGCTTCAGGTACATCCTACTGAGTGGCACGCCACCATTCTCTGGTAGTGACACCATGGCCGTCTTAGAGTCTGTCAAGCGTGCTGAGCTATCTTTCGACAAGAAGGACCCTTGCTTCTGGGTTGCCGTTAAGGAATCTAATTGAAGTTACTTACCATACTGGATCTGTATAGTCGCTACTAGAGTTTCCGCAGTATATTAACTTGAATTGAGTTCCTTAACCCTATACCCCAAGCCCTGTATATCCCTATATACCCCTTACAGTGACTTCTTCTCAGCCGCCTGGCCAAACAGTTAGGAGGTTTTTTGGTATGATTCTTAGTAGGGACCGCTCTAATCCGTTTGTAATCCGTGGGTCCCCGAAATCGCTGTTTAGAGAAACTTCTTATAAGCCTATAGAACCCTGTGACTCCCTGTAGAACCCTATATTACTTCTACAACGTAGCTCTGTACAACCCCATTAAACCTTACCCTGAAAACCATTTACCTTTCCATTATCCCAATATGACCACCCCAATAAACCCTAAACCCTGAATAGTAGATTCCATTTTCTTTTCCATTATCCCAATAAAACCACCCCAATAAACCCTAAACCCTGAATAGTAGATTCCATTTTCTTTTCCATTATCCCAATAAAACCACCCCAAAAAACCCTAAACCCTGAATAGTAGATTCCATTTCCTTTTCCATTATCCCAATAAAGCCTCAAGCTTCTTTCCGGAGGAGTGGAAGTTAATCTCCAGGGAGGCGAAGGACATGTTGAAGGTCTCTTGACAGCAAAGCCTTAGGAGGACACTCCACTCTGTAACCCACTCATTAACATTTGGATAATATTTATAATATGGTTATATATAGCCCTTAATATGACCCCTAGTATAGATTAGGAGGACCTCCCACCCTGTAATCGTGCTATAGTAGGAATATAGTATGACCCTAATAGAATCCTGATTATTCCTTATAATCACTATTACGGGGTGGGGGTCTACCTAAGCAAAGCCTATGGCTTGCAACGGCCGGTTCATAGTTCAGAGTTCAGGGTTACCTCATGAAATCATCATCATATGGGTTCCTATAGCGGGACTCGTATTACAATGCAGGTCACTATACAGTTTTGCCCCGTTATGGGAGTAGCAATATAGGCCAAGTCCCATGTGCGCGTGTATAACTTTTATAAACGGTTGTATATACATATAGAGAAATACAGCTTATGGATATGAGGCTTCCAGAAATTCAGGGTCCCTTCTAAAAGGGTCCCGTGATAAGGATCAGAGTGTTTCATGATATGTAGGGGCCTTTACCATGTAACCCTAAACGCTAAACGCTGGGCCCTGAACAGTCCGTGAACGCAAGGTCCTTCTCACCAGAGATCCGGCTCTGCGTGTAACCGCAGAAGCCGCTTTGAAAGAGGAGTGGCTTACCAAGCAGATTGATGTGCACCTTGCCTGAAAGGGATTATGTAGAAATAGTTAGTATCGTATGGGGATGTATGCGGATATATAGCAGGGATGGATAAGAAAAGGGAAGATTCTGTATTATTTGGGTTTCATTTTTGCGGGTTTAGGGACCTAAAGAATTGGAATAGCGGAGAAACAATTGCAAGCGGACATGCACATGAAACGGAGACTGGGCTTATACTATGTAAACATATACGTATGAGGACTGCTACGAAAAACATTGGTCGTCATTCAGGCTTTACATTGAGCATGCCAAGCTGGGAATGGGTATGCTGGCGACTACGTAGGGGCTGCTATAGGGATCCATTCCCCATTCCCGAAACAGACGGAGTCAGACAAAGCACAGCCCCAGTAAGATTGGAGTGGTTCTGCGCTGGTCGTTGCGTATATGAGCTATAGTCTGAACTTCTTATATTGGGTTGTATAGGGACTCCTATAGGGGTTATCAAGGGGGATACTAGGAGTGTAGACTATAGCTCATATAGTGTCTCCCATGTCAGCGTTGCATGGCCCGGGTGTTCTTCCTGTTCTCCTTACACCTCAGGAGGACCCCTATGTTGTACTGGTGTTTAGGGTTTAGTGTGATAGGAATATAAGAGGACCCTACTATAAGCCTTACTAGCCTTTTCAGTCACTATTGGAGGGTTGGGGGTCCACCTAACCTATACGAGCCTACGTAAGCCTAATGTAGGGGAACCCACCTGCTGACTCCCCACCTGCGACTATATGGTATATATGGCATGTATACATATATACTCATGTTTGCGCACATCCATGTTTTAACATTATGTAACCTCTATTTAACCCGTATAAGAACCCGTACATATCCTTACAACTCCTGAAGCTTTCTTCTCAATCGGCAGCTTTGAAGGTTTGCACCTGCATACTATACGTTTTCATGCTCTCCGACACTTTGGTGGGCTACTGTTGATGCTACAAGGGTTGCGTGGCCTCCGTATACTATAAGTTATGCAAGATATTTAGCATTCACCGTTCAACCTGCTTGAACGTGCCTTGCCCCGCCCTCAGTACAGGGTTCATGGATAGTTCTAAGTTGGGGTCTATAAGGGTTTACGGTGTAAGTCCCAGAAGTGGATTATTGGGGGTTCAGGGTTTAGCGTCATAAGTACAGTTATCCTAGTTGTATTGCCAAGTACAGCTGCACAGACAGAATTCACCTGAAAACCTAAAGTCTAGATCATGCAGTAGCTCTTTTTTTGCACTCCCCCTATACGGGTGGTCGTCAAAATTATGTTCCCTTTTTGCGTCCTTATTATAATACGGCACCTAATATATGTAGGGTAGGGTACCCAAAAAGGGACCATAATTTTGACAACCGCCCATATATCCCTACGGATCCCTACATTACCTTTAAGCACCCCAAGCCCTCAACAGTAAATTGTCAAGGCCGCACACAGACATGAGCCATGCCTCACAGGCCGGCAAGTGGCTTTTCAGCCGTAGGGTTCAAGGGGGTTTAGGGTTTAGGGTTTAGGGTTAAGGGTTTAGGCTTTAGGGACCCATTTAGAGGGGGGTGTGTAACAAGCTTTTCAACTTTGATGCTTAAGTTTTCAAGGCCCAATACCTTCATAATAGCCCTTTCCAATCTCCAGGGGGTTCAAGAACTTTATCCAAAATTCCCTCGTAGAATCCTTCTGAGAAAAATCAGAATCCTATCGTAGTCCACATGCCTCCCAAGGTCCCCAAGGGCTAGGGGTTTAGGGTTTAGGGATCCCCTGTTTTGAGAACCTCCCAACCCTGGACCCTAAACCGGAGCCCTCCCTGAGAACCTTCGCGTCATTAGATCCTTGTTTGGGTCATTCCCTCTCACAACTGTCCTCGAAGGGGCCCGTTTTACTAGGGGACTGTTTCAACTCCCATAAAGCGCGATTCAGGAGGCTTAGGGTTTAGGGTACGTAATTTCGGGTAGCTGTTCGCATACTTTGGATCTGGAGGGTCAGGGGGACTTACTAAGTAGGTTAATATGGGGATAGCTGAGGTGACTATATGGGTTATAGGGTCTGTGAACCCTAACCCTTAAAAGGGTCTATAAACCCTAACCCCTTATAGGGTGAGGGTTTAGGGTTTAGCTCCAAAAAGGGTTTACAGCACTTACTCCAGATGCGGACATGAACTTCTGCAAGTGTGGGGCACTTGTCGAGATTAGGCCCTCTGTCTTCAAGTAGGTTCAGCCGCATGTACTATCCTTTAGGTTAGGATCCCCAAGACGGGGACTCAAACAAGTAGACAATTTCTTGGTGAGGGGCCAAGCAAAGAACACTTCAGCGTTGAACCCTGTTATATGTTTTGGGTGGACCCACTGGCCGGTAATAGTGGTATGTTAGGAGTATAAGAGGGCCCTAGTATAATGACCATTATCCCTCGTGTCACTGCTACTAGGTGGGGGTCCACCACCTGACCTACTAAACTTGGGCAAGTCAACTTGGATTTCTTTGTTTTTTTTGCTTAGGCCATTCGAGCGTTGAAATCCCAAACCCTGAGCTCTAAACCATAAGCCTGGAAGCCTAAACCTCTGAACCCCAAACCCCTAAACCCTAAACCTCTCAAGCCTAGTCCCCAAGCCCTAAACCCTACCCTAACCCCCAACCCCCACACCCCTAAACCCCTAAACCCCTAGACCTCAAACCCCCTAAACCCCCCAAACCCTACCCTAACTCCTACACCCGGAACGCCCGAACTCCATATCTTCTTGCAGGTCGTCGTGCAGAATCTGAAGAGCTTTGCAGTGATGAACAAGCTGAAGAAGGTTGACCGGGGGATTAAGGGGGGGTTTAGGGTTTAGGGTTTAGGGCCTGGGGTTTAGGCAATGCTTGTTCAGTTTGGGGTTTCTCGAGGTAATTTCACCCTAGGTGCCCCAGAGATATCTAGGGATTGTTACTGGAGGTCGACCCTCGGAATTGCGTGGGGACACTCATGACGAGTTCCCTTACTCCACCGCCATCCTTCTTCTTACCCCTTGACCCCTAAACCCGAAGCCCTAAGCCCCTTGAGCCCTAAACCTTAAACCCTAAACCCTTAACTTGAACCCTAAACCCTACCTGCAAGCAGTCGTTTCACTTTCGCTATCCCACCCACGTGTTCCTGGGGATGCCTCCGAATTGTGTAGCTTTTAATTTGGGGATACTATGGTAGTAAGATTATATCCCTAGGGTTTAGGGTTTAGGGTTATCCTCCTTTTTGGGTATAATAATATCTTACTAGGTTTAACCACCAAAAAAACACTACTCAATTGGGTTTCTCTTTAAACGAACTCAATATAGTCACAATTTCATGATGATCCCCATGGATTCGGGTGTAGGGTCATAACCCCATGATCACTCTCATGCATCCCTAGAGTTTGGGGCTTAGCCTCGAAGCACGCCCCGTTCAGAACCCCCCCCAAACCTTAAAACCCTAAACCCTAAACCCTAAACCTTAAACCCTAAACATTAAACCGCCAGGCAGCGCTGAATATCATTGCAACACAGCTGACAGACGATGCCATCAAGGAGTTGAAGGTGGCCTCACAGTTGCTCTTGCGGTTTAGGGATTAGGGATTAGGGATAATTACCAATATTATGGTTCCATATTCCTTGTATAATTATAGTAAAGGGTACCTCAAATGAACCTCAAAATGATATTGGTAACTATTTAGGCCCCGATATTACATGGTTTAGGGGTTTGGGGTTTTAGAGTTCCAGGGGTTAAGGATTTAGAGTTCAAGGGCTTTAGGGGAACAATTTAGGTAGAATTTAGGTCAATCCCTTTTAGAGTAGTGGCTCCTTTATATGGAGTTAAAGTGGGCCCCACTATGCCTGCACTAGTCCCTTGTGGTACGCATGATTGGTTGGGGGCTTGGCCCAAGGTAAATTGGAACAGTAGATGGAGCCATGATCCAGGGGCCCTGAGGCTCACAAGCCTTTGGTCGTAGAGGAATGTGAGCCCTGAAGCCCCAGGGGAGACTTGGAAGCCCTACACTAGGCATCCCAGAATGTAACTTCAGTAGTACCCTTTTCCCTTTTTGATGTGGGTCCTCCTGTTTAAAACTGAACCCGAAGCCCTACACCCCAAACCCACCCTTACTATGAAAGGGTTACTGGGGAACCTATATAACCCCAATATACTATAGTAGTTTCCATTTTATTTTCCATTACCCCAATATAATACCCTTATATAACCCCTATATAATCCCTATATAACCCTTATTAGCTCACGCTCAACCCCGCTGCAAGGTAAGACCGCGGGTTTAGGGTTTACAGGGGTAGGCTTGAAAATGATCCTAGATTAGGAGTGCTTAGGTGGACCCCCCACCTTGTAATAGCGGTATAATGGGAATATGCACAACTCAAAGTGTTTAGGGTCTAGCGTTGTAGAATACGAATATAAGGGGACCTTACTACCATAATCACGCTATCCCTTATAGTCACCATAACTGGGTGGACGGTCCATCGGATGGATTACCCTAATCCCTCTATAATACTTATAAAGCCATAATATTTGAATTTTCTAGGGCCCCCAAACCTACCCTTTTAGGGTTTAGGGTTAGGGATTAACCCCAAAGCACCAGTGTGCAAGAAAGTTCATCAGCAAATCAACATAATGGTCCTAGATTTCTTCGGGCAGGATACCTCAAGGATACGCCAGGATGATACTAGTAATTATTCAAGCTTCCGTATTACAGGAATGTTTTTTCTTCTTGTCGTGGCGTACTGACACGATGCATGATAGTGCTTTGCACCAGTGCTCATGATCCAGGATCTGCCAGTTGCAACCGTAAATCCTAAAAACAAAGCCCTAAAACCCCAAACCCTAAACCCTAGAAGAAAATGACTCCGATGTCCGCGTAGTCACAACACACTTTTTTTTTAAATCTTCAGGGAGCTCGGCATATACTTGTTTGAATCATGAAGATTTGCCGTGCTTACTGCTGTAAGGACTGAACTTTTGTTGCGGTTCGCGTTGCCGTTGCTTTTTTTTGATGCTTGTCTTGAACCCTGAAGCCTGCAGCCTCAAACCGTGTGGCAGGAGCTCTTCATCGCCATGGATGATAACAATGACGGCACACTTAGTGTAGCGGAACTGAAAGATGGCTTGGTCAAGGCAAGCTCATTGTTTAGCGTCTGGGGCGTAGGGTTCAGAGGTTCAGCGTTTCGAGACTAAAGTTTAGGGTTAGGGGGCTGGGGTTAAGTTAAGGGTTCAGAGGTTGAAAGTTTAGTGTTTAGAGTTTGGGTTTTGAGGTTTAGGGGATAGGCAAGTTTTATGCCTTAGACTTGAGGGTGTAGGGTTTAGGCGTTCAGGGTTAAGGTTTTAAAGTTACGCTCTTGGGGCCTAGGCTTGAGACGAAGGATCAACCTAAACCCTAAACCCTGAAGGGCTAGCTCGACAGGACATAATTCTTGTCTCAGTCTCTCTTTTTTGTGCAGGCTCTTTGAAGAGGATTCGCTAAGGTTCACAGGGATGACTTCCGGGGCGCCTAGGCATTTGGTTTTACATGGGGAGTGGGAAAAGGCTTTGTTGTAATCCCCCCCACCCGTACTTTGATGAACGTTTCCGTGAAACCCTAATCCTGACCCTGAGCCCTAAATCCTGAACCCTAAATCCTAAATCCAAAGCCCTAAACCCCAAACCTTAAAGCCCAAAACCCAAAACCCTGGATTCGAGGCGGGAGTTGCTGTCCCCCCGGACCTCTACGCCATGATGGACCGGTTGGGAGCTCGGTGGCCCCACTGGTTTGGACCCCAGGGTTTAGGGTGTAGGTTTTGGGGTTTAGGGTTTAGGGTTTAGGGTCTAGGGTGTAGGTTTTTTGGTTTAGGGTTCAGGGTTTAGGGGGATTATCCCTGCCCCTCAAAGGATATACAGGGGTATATAATTAGTGGATAAGTATAGAACGATCATGTAGGGATTACGTACATAAGGGTTATGTAGGGTTTGGTGTTTAGGATTAGGGGCTTCGGGCCTAGAAGTTTTTGGTGAGGGTTTAAGGTTTAGATCTTATGGCTTGAGGTTTTTGCCTTGGTGGTTGATAGGGCATTCAGGAACAGGATGTCTAGCGGCATATATATATATATATATGTATTTTACATATATTCATGTATGTATACACACACATGCCCCCCGCTCGCTCGCTCGCTCGCTCTCTCTCTCTCTCTCTCTCTCTCTCTCTCCCTGCCACAGAGAAAGAGATGCGTGTTTATATGCAGATATATATAGAAGAACTGATATAGGGATCCATTTCCCCATTCCCTCTCAATGAGGCATCAGAATGCAGATGCCGGGACCAAGAGATCCAACAGATGGACCCTTGCTGGTTTGCTGTCAGGGCACTTCATCTGAGTGACCATAATGTAAACACTTACATATAGTATTTGATATGGTTCCCCAATCATAGTAGCTCAAGTTAGGTTCCAGAACGGCAACCCAGCCTCTTGAACAGAAGGATCTCCCTCCGATGAGTCTTGCGGCCTATACTACAGCTTACCTGGGTCGAGGCAATAGAAAGATAGATCACATGTACTGATCTCCCAACTGTACTAATCTAATGCCACGGGTGTTGCCACCGCCGCCGCCGCCGTCGCTGCCCCCACCTCCACCACCCCCACCAACCCCGCCATCCCCACCACCCCTCCAGCTTAGGATTGACACGGATGGAAGCGGCGTCATTGACTACACGGAGTTCATGGCGGCCACGCTGGACAAGCGCCAGTTTGTGGCGGAGGAGTGGAGGGGACTTTGGGATGGGTATGATGTTGGTGAATGTAGTCGTAATGCCTGGCATGATTCGGCATGAGAGGAACTGTAATCTCCCGCAACCTGGAAGTTGCAGACATATCTGCGCGGCTGAACTTGTCGCGAGGAGGCGTGCTGGAGGGCTTTCAAGACTTTTGACCAAGATGGCAGTGGTCACATCGACAAGGAGGATGCACCTTGCTTCCGTTGTGGAAACTGCTATGAGGTTGAGGTCGCGACTACTCAAGACTAGCTCAAAGCTTCATCTTTTTATGAAAGTAGGGTCCCGAGCGTCGCTTCAAGCGTGTACCTCTTGAAATCTGAGGAAGGGATGAAATGGTGCTCTCCAGTAAGTTTCAAGATAAGGTCCCAGGTAGAGGTTATGGCTAGGTGCTTGTACGATAGTCACGCTAAACCCTAAACCTAAACCCTCAAGCTTCAACCTTAAACCCTAAACCCAATCCTAGAGCTACACCCTGAACCCTAAACGAGAGGAGCTTATGAAGCTGCTCGGAGGCGACAACCAGGCCTTGAGCTTTTGCTGGGTTATTTCTTCTTGGTGCTTAAGGTAGGGTTTAGGGTTGAGGGATGTTGAGGGTTTAGGATTTCAGGATTTAGGGTTTAGGGCTTAGAGGGTGCGTGGAGAGTTGATTCCTGTAGCAATACCTATACCAGCTACCGTCAGATACTGTCAATCCAAGGGAAGACAAGAGAATGGCAACTACTGTGATGGAGAATCAGAACAAGAAATTGACAACGACATGGAATATGTTCTGGGGGAAGGAAAGATATTCGGCCTTATATGAGCTACTGTCAGTAAATGACTCACAAAAGGACCATCAAGGGTGGACACGGGGGTCCCTTTGATAGTCTCCGTATCGTCCCTAAGATAAATATTGTCTTATAGGAAGCCGATGTCCATGGATTATGTGGGCAATGTGGACTGTAGCATATAATCGCCTGCGATAACGCATATATTCATGCCCCCACTCCCCCACTCCCCCTAAAGCACCAGTGAGGCTTCGAGGTTCTTGGGAAGCTCTATGCAGGGTTATAAGTCCCTGGAATTCGTGTTTTTTTTTAAAGAGCAGTTCTCCAACTTCTGAACCCAATTCCAACCACGCATGACCTTTCAACTACGTAGGAGGGTCCTGGAGACTTAGTAAGTAGGTTCATACACTGGGGATAATTAACTACGGTCACTATGTAGCTTATAGTGGTCACCAGGAAGCTGACTAAGTCCCTAGGACCTTAAACCTACACCCTCAACCCAAAATTCCATAGTTTCCATTGTCTTTTCCATTCCCCATATCCCTTTACATCCCTCTATATCTCCGTTAAAGGGACCCTAAGCCCCCTCCAAGCAGTGCTGCAGAGCGGAGCAAGTGTTACAATCAGGTCTCGGATGTCATGCAGATCAAGTGGCCCATCTGTGGATATCTTTCTTTCCGTACTTCTTACACCCCGCCCCCCCAAACATGTCCAAAAAAGTGGGGCCTCCAAATGGCCCCCTAGTTTTCTACTGTTCTACTGTTCTACTGTAGCTATGGGGTCTTGGTCCGGGAGGGGCTTCAATTTTTTGAATCGTTTGTTCGGGTTCTGGGCCGTGTTGTACCCCTAAACCCTAAGCCCCAAACTTCAGGCTGTCATCCACCAGGTAGCTCATGCTCTGGCAAGCGAGGTACACGAAGCAGGAGGTTGATGCCATCATGAAGGAGGTGGACCTTAATGGAGATGGCCGGAACCTTAGGGTTTGGGGTTCAGGGTTTGGGGGTTGGGAGCCACTGAAATTGCCTGTTCTTGGTTGAGCACTGCAAGTGCCACTCCCAGGTAAGATTGACTTCGACGAGTTCCTAACAATGATGCGGCGAATGCCAAAAGATAATAACAAGAAATCAGCACCTTCCATTGGGATTGCTGTCAAGCGCCCTCGAACCACGTAGGGCAAGCGCACACTTCCTGAAATCATGAAGATAATGCGCTGGGCTTGGTCAGGGCCTTTGATCGACACGAAGATCGATCCTGGTTTCACCTGGTGCCAATGTTGCGCCCAAAGACGATCAACCCTCCTGGCCCTGCCAAAAGCCCCGGTGAGCCTTCTCGAAGGCTGCTTTCCGCATGCACGTGCCGGGTGGCTACATGTCCGTACCCTTGCTGAATTGCCAGTGCTTACATGGCCAGAATGTTCAAGCCTCCAATATCATGTGTAACTCAAACGGCTTGACAGAAAGTGTGCACAAGCTAGATGGCAAACAAATCAAAAACACGGATGATCCTTAAGCAGCCCAAGCCTTCAGACACTGTGTAAGTTGGTTTGTCCAGTCCTTGCAGATGTGATCCCATGTGGAACGGGAAAGGCATGGGGCAAGCATTCTGTTGCTAGCAGTTGTGTCGTTTTTGTTTCTGCCAGGCGCTGGTGATGATTGGAGCTGGAACAAGGGAGGCGGGTGGAACGCAAATCAGGGCCCTTCCTGGGGATACGGCGGTGGCTGCGGCGGCGGAAGCTGTGGTGGCTATGGAGGCTGTGGGAGTTGCGGTGGTGGCTGCGGAGGCTGCGGCTGCAGCAGTGGCTGCGGGTGCGGCGGTGGCTGCGGTTGCGGCGGTGGCTGTGGAGGCTGCGGTGGCTGCAGCGGGGGCGGTTGTGGCAGTTGCGGCGGCTGTGGCAGTTGGAATTCGTCCTGGCAACCGCAGGGAGGATGTCCTGGGCTCAGCAGCAGTCTGCCAGAAGACTCTTTTGTGGTTTGTTTGCATGGCACTCATGCTTTCTTTGAAGGCCCTTCCTTTCCAGCTGGATCTGGTGTGCATGTGCCGCCGCCACCACGACCCATTGGCTTCTTGGCAAAAGGAACAGCGCGGAGAGGTGTCATGTAAGCATGTCATCGGCTTTCAGTACTCATACGTCTGAAAGTCGCCATGGCAAGCCCCCTGCTTCGCCTGACTCGTGAATGCTGGTTTACCCTGCAAAGCCGCTGATAGCTTCTGCCACCGAGTATTAATTCTCTAAGCGTAAGCTACGGCATCATGACATGTCACGACAGATGTTAGCAACGCATCAGTAGTAGCTGGACAAGATCCATAGCGGCATTTTGAAGTCTGTCGCGGTGTCGCAGCGCCAAAATTCATACCAGGATATATGGGAGGTTCCTAAATTGGGGGTCCCCAGAATGAGGACTATAGCTAATTGGAGTCCCCCCTATTTTATTTTGGGAAGCTACCAATATTTGAAAGCATGACGACTGTTCCGGGGAGCTTGCCAAGTACCCCCAACCCCAAGCCCTAAACCCTTCATCACACGAGCTGTAGTCTAAACTCCATGAAGGGGGGTTATATAGGGACTATACATTGGAGTATAATGGGGGTTATTAGGGAGGATACGTGGATCATGCGGGAAACCATGGCAGGTATCCTCGCTGTGCAGGCATCGAGTTGAATATTAATAGTTGGGCAGACAGGACTTTTCAGGCATAATGCGGGTCCCAACGTTTTGGGATCCATTTTCGGTAGTCTACCCTAAACCCTAAACCCTAAACCCAAGCATAAGGTTCATGGTATGGGACCCCTGTTTCCGAAATGCCCAGAAATCCTTGCCTATTTCCCTCACTCAAGGCGACCCTAAACCCTTAACCTGGTGCTGGCGGGCTGCCAGTTGGAGGGTAGCTTAGGCTTCAGGGCTTTGGGGTTTGGGATTTAGAGTTCCTAAGCCCCAAACTCTTTCTGCAGGCATTTGCCATGCACCGACGAGCGCCATGCAAGTGGTGAAAAGACGTAACCCACTGTTGACCGGTAAGCTTTAGCTCCGAGTGAGCTGTAGTCTAAGCTGGAGCTGTAGTCTAAACTCCCTAAAGGGAGGTTATACAGGGTCCAGGGTTTAGCTGCCAAACTCCTTAAACGGGGTTGTACAGGGGATTGTATAAGGGAGTATTGTAGGGGTGGGTTACTAAGGGGGATACCAGGAGTTTAGGCTATAGCTCAAATCGCTCGTCAGTGAACCCTAAACCCTATGGCAAAGCAGTGCGGATGCAACAGAGCTACGGAAGAAGCCTGAATGACTTGCAGTGTGATCCTTTTGTCGTCCTTACATAATTGCAGGTTCATATACCTCAAAGCTTTATTCCTGTTTAAGCCCGTCCGAATGAACACAAACGCCCAAAGCCTTGAGCGTGGTCAGGTTCGATGACGACCGCATCTGGGTTGCTGTTATGGTAGTCCTAAACCCCAAAACCTACACCCTAAACCCTAAAAACTACACCCTTAACCTTATATTATAGAAATTTAATTCAAGTTCCTTAAAAGCCACCCAGGCATTGGCTGTAAGCTCCCCGCCGTCCACGATTCCAGCACGGCCAGCAGCGCCAGCAGTGGGCCGAGCTTGCTTGAAATCGTTTCAGTTGGTTTTAAGGGGCCAGAGGGATATATAAGGATAGGGGCACACGAGGATATATACATATGTATATACATATATACATTGGGGGTATGTAGGGATATACACATGTTTTAATATCCAGGGGTATAAAGGGAGAACTACAGGTTACGGTATATGAGACATATCCAGAAATTACAGGGATGTGTAGGGATCCTGTAGAGATATAGAGGAAGATTTTGGCATACATCAGGACACATGGCCCTAAACCCTAAACCGGGGTGTAGGCGGTTTCAGGGTTCAGAGTTTCTCAGAGTTGGGTTACCCTGGGTTCACAGGGAGTCTTCCTGAGGATTCTATAGGGTTAAATTCGAGAAGCAACCTGAACCTAGCATATGGCCTATAGTCCGACCTCCTTAAAGGGGGTTATATAGGGAAATATATATGGAAGTATAGGGGTTAGTAAGGGGGATGCTACGAGTTTAGACTATATCTCATAGCCCCCCACTCCTGAGCAAAAAACATGCTGCCCTAACATGTTGGGCCTACTGTAGGACATATTCGAAATAGACAGTGGAGGGTGAGCTTGCTGGAGGGCTTTCCAAAGGTGTGGGTCCCATTTGTCTGGTGCTTGTAGGGAATGTCGACTAGGTCATAGCGGACAGATTATAAAGAGCAGGGATCCCTTCCTCACTCTCGAGTAAGCGCCGGTGATTGATGATAGGGTGGTTGGGGGGGGGGGGGTGTTTAGGATGGGGCAGTAGTATAACACCATGAAAACCCAATATAACCCTAATATAAACCCAATATAACCCCACCATAGCCCTAATATAACCCCAAGATACAGAGACCCCAATTTGGGAACATGCCCGATGGAAGGTTAATAGTGGACCTTTGAGCTTCTATTGTTCCTTCCGGAGAGAACGAACTGGAAGTACGCACTGGGTAGCACACCGGCTATGGCGGCCACAGCGACGATGACGACGATGATGCTGATGATGACAACGATGATGACGATGCCCTCGCAGTCGCCGGGGCGTGGACGACGACGAGAACTACTGCTGCAGCTATTTCTAGTGCTACTGCAGGCACTACAGCTACAGCTACTTTTGATGCGGCTACAGCAGCTCCCGCTCTCTACTTCCAAGCAGAATAGACTTCCTGTTGCTATTGCTCTTGTTATTGTTCCCGCTTTTCCTCTGCTTGAAAGAAGAGTACTGCGGGGTGCAGAAAGTTCCACCCACCCGAAGATCACAGCCCAGGTCTCAGGCAGGTAGCAACACGAAAAATTCCTCTTCCCCTGTAGACTCCGCCCCGGCCACTGAAAATGAGCTTTCAAGGGCCTCCGTTCCTCCGCAAGACCCCTCTAACATGTAGTCCCTCATATTGTAGGTCGGTAGCTCGAAACTTTCGGATCGCCTATGTATATTTACTGCTGCTATTGCTTATTGTTCTGCCAGGCTATGAACGGGGCGCCTCCAGCACAAGATCAAAGTCTGGACAGTGCCGCGCTTCTTGCTTACCAGCCACTTGCCGGCCAACTTGAACAAGAGCTTTCCTGGTATGCATGCTCTTCTAATCCTGCAGGCAAGTTCAACAACAAGCATATGAAGCAGATGGCGGCTTTCCAGGACTGGTTCCAGAGCTTTGGTTTCGGGTTTAGGGCCTTCTCACCCTAGACCCTTCATCCAAGTCTAGGAGGAAGTTTCAAGTGGGTAATTACGCCATATGAACCTTACATAGCCCTGAATTACATATACCCCAAGGCTCCCCATATAAGCCTTATAGAAGCCTCATGTACGGGTACCCACCTGGTAACTCCCCACCCGAAATTTCCTTTAATAGGCTCTCCACCCAAGAGCTCCCTAAACCCTAAAACCCCCTGAACCCCAAACCCTAAACCGCGGCAGGACCCTTCCAGTCTCAAACGCGCGACCTTGCCACGGAGGTAGCCCGCATGCGCTGCTTAGATCAGAGCTCGCACTGCTTTTTGAAAACAATGCATCATGTCTTGGAACAAGCCTTCTTGTGAAGTGCTTGTTGTTGGGTGATGTACCTTTCTGCTAACGAGCGCATGCTTGGGATGGTTTGACTTTTCGCGCTTGGGGTCAGGTATGGTGAGAAACCGGTGGGGAAAATGTTCGGGGCCAGCGTTCGGACCTTGGGTTTAGGGTTCCGTCTTGCGGGTTGATAGGCATTCTTAGGGTTTGGGGATTTAGGGTTTAAGGTTTATGGATTAGGCCTTTAGG